AAAGTTAACCACTTGGTTACTTTTGTGTAACTTACTTTTATTTTTAAACACTTTACTATTACTTTTAAAAGAATTTTACACGCGAGGAACCAGCGCGAGGTGTTTGATGTAAAAGGTTAAAACCGCACTCGTGGAGGACCGTATGGTAGCAGAGGCGGACTCTAACAACCCAGTCGACCGTTCGAGGGTAAAAACTTAACTCTGCCTCGCTTCGCGGTAAACTGGGTTGTAGCAGAGGCGGACTCTTACTACTCAGTCTACCTTAAAGGGCTATCGTCGAGTGTGTTTCTCGGGGCCTCCGGGCCTTTTTGTAAGGAGTAGCAGATCTCTGCGACGCGCTGGTTCGAGATGACGCTGGAAATTTTGCAGGAAAAATCTTGAAGGGGAAGGACAATAGCCAAAGATCTAATTGGCTAGAGATGCTCTAGTTCAACCACTCAAAAATTGGCACATCCCACATCCGGCTCATTCTCCTCCGAGCGTCAAAAGAAGGGAAGGTGATTCACTCACTAGTGCCCTTCCTTTCTCTTTTACATCCAAATTTTACAAAACTTTAATTTGACTTAATATGAATGTTAAAATAGAATATCGTTAATATTTACTTATGCTGGACACTGTTCGTTTTTTCAACTAAACTTGTTGCAGAAAGAACGGAGAGAATCGCTTAATGTTTAAATTAATGTTTGGATAGATAAACGATCGGTGTGCTACGGTACATCAACTAATACTTAAATAGAAATAACGTTGGCCGTTGTTATAACAACTTATAATGATAACATTAGTATAATATAATGATAATAATAACAATAATGATAATAAAAACAATAATGATAATAATAACAATAATGATAATAATAACAATAAAGATAATAATAACAATAATAAAAACAATAATGATGATCTAGGTTAAATAGAGCAGAGGATTCTCTTCTATTTCCCTGATTTGTATGTCTTTTTATTAGACCTAAATTCATTAAGAGTATGCTGGCAAGTGAGCGGAATAGAAGCTCAGAAGCTCCGAAAGAGACCCTTACTCCCCCTTTTGAAAAAAAAGATGAGGTGGAACCAGGAGCTTATCCCGAAAAACGGGAAAATGCCAGAAAAAAGGAGAAAAAAAATTCTCATTAAGGTCGTAGAAAGGCAGAGCTTTGCCAAGATCCTAAAGAAAACGAGGGCTAATTTTAAGCCATAACAGGCTGAACTCACAATCAAAGGAGTCACTACAATCAAAAAGGCAGATTTTCTCCACAAAGTATGGAAAATAAATGACAGAGGTACTTTTGTTAGCAATAAAGCTAAAACCTTGGAAGAGTTTAGATCTGTTAAAAAAAATGAGGAAAGCGTAACGCTTGAAATCCAAAATCTGCATCTGATTACCGAGAAAGCCGACGTCAATCTTGCATTGAGTAGTGTAACATATGAGAAACATAAGCGCACTGGCATTAACGTTACAGCGTGAATCAATAGTTGTAAGCTTTAAACAAAGTAGGAAGATTGTGAACAATGTAAAAGGCGTCAGACTTAATTTAACATTCTCTGACAGAAGATGAGATTTATAATACACAAGAAAATATGTATATCTAAGCTTGTATTATTCTTACTTTAATTAACTTATATTTTACAACCAAGGACTGCTGTTCAAGAACTAAGCTGACAAACCAAGCTGAAGTTTTATTTAAAATCTGATGACTACACTGGAAGAATTTTGGGTGAAGGATATCTGTAACCTTGGATCTGCCTGAGATCAATAAATTTCTTACTTCTAAAATTTCAAAATACGACGGACATAAATCCAAACTTGGTAATATAACAAGTAAGAAATTTTTGAAGTATCTTGTTACCAAATTGGAAGACTCGCCGTACGTGTTCGGTAGCGTCCGATGTTGACGATACGTTGGACGCAGAAAACACGACGCTGGAAGCGTCACACTTCGAAGTTGGTAAGCTGAGCTTCCCAACTTAGGAGAGAAGAACTCGATATTAGTTTAGATCGCTCAATCCCATTATCGAGCCATAATACTTCGGCATTGAGTAAAAAAAGCATGTATAGAGACTAGAATATCAATGAAAGAGAGGAAACTTATTTACATGTATGTATAAACTTATATACACATACATAAAAATTTTTAAGTTCACTTTCTATACACTATACAAAAAAACTCTCAGAAATACGAAAAAAAGACATAATAATAAAATGTATAAGAAATGGGTTGTACTCTCAGAAAAATAAAATTACTAAATAAACAAAACTAAATCATATCTTTAATAAAAAATTTGGTTTTTCCTTCTCCACAAATATTGTTTATCATAACAAACACAAAATGTCGTACTTAGTTAATGTGTAAAATTCTTCGCCTTTTTTTATTCACAAACATGGTTCTATTTTGAGTATAGCTTCAGCGAAAACTTCACGAGTCCTATTTATATCTATCCCAAGTTTAGAAGCATGATATTTGAAATTAAAGTAAATATTTTTAACTTCACAAACTAAAAAGCATGTCATACGCAAATAACTGTAAATTTTTAAAATTTGATTAAAAACAGGACCATCATCTTTCACATTTGTAACAATAATATCACCGAGAGTATATAATTCCTTCCAGAAATTTAAATAGATTAATACATCTGACCATTTGATACGATTGTAAAACTATATTGCGCACCTAATAATAAATTACTATCCGGAAAAATATTTCTATGTAGAGTGTGCTATAGGTGTACGTAATAATATAACATCGAAAAATCGGGATGTATAAGCATGCATATATGTTTATTAATATATACATCTAAATATTATTCTATACATACCATATACGCGCGCAGTTCTTAAAAGCGTTTACCAAAAATACATTATACTAGATTTAAATAACATTTTACAATAATTTCCCTTCAGAAATGCGATAAAATGAACCTTGTTATAACGTGTTCTAAATAAAGAATCTAGTTTTATAAATTTCATTTCATAAAATTGCTTTTAAAAAATAACAATTTATTTGTAAAATATTAGGATTAAAGAATTACTCTTATAAAGACTATATTATTTATTAAATTTTTATTCAATGTACTCACACAAAATTATCATGATAATTGTTGAATTATTTTTTGCATTAAATATTTGTCAATCATACGTACATTACTCCTCTCTCTCATCAATGTATTTGAATCGGTTTACCTACATACTTTTTATATTCAATGCCGAAGTATAATGGCTCGATAATGGGGTCGAGTGACCAATGTCGAGCTCTTCTCTCCCGAGTTGGGAAGCTCAGCTTACTAACTCCGAGGTGTAACGCTTCCAGCATCGTGTTTTCTGCGTCTAACGTATCGTCAATATCGGATGATATCAAACACGTACGGCGAATTTTTCAATTTGGTAACAAAACACTTCAAAATTCTCCGACCTAGTATATTCCGGATTTCGTAGTGTTAGCATTCAATGTTATCGATGGAGAAAAAGTTGGTAATATCCAACACCCAAATTTGTTTGAGTGTGGGAGATTTTTATGTAGAGGCTAGAGGTTTATTTTACAGCAAAAGATGTTAAGGCAGAGAAAAAAAGCCTTATACTATTAATGAGTATAAACGAAGAAGTATTTATGCTCGTATGGAATTGATGTGCTCCAGAAAAATCGAGTTAAAAAACATACAGAGAGCTGAAAAAAATACTATCTAATCATTTAAATACCAAACAGTCCACAGTTATGGAACATTGGAAGTTAACTCTGGCAGAACAAGAATAAGAACAGTGCATGGCTGATTTTACTGCAAGATTAAAAAG